ATCTGATGTGTTTTCAAAGTGTTCCTTTAATTTTTTTGAGCAGTGTACATATTTAAATGATCTTTTTGGTGTCCGGTAAACCAACAAACGCAAGATCAATGCAGGATGAAACCTGCCTTACTGCAGCTACATTACACAGAGCAGGAGAAAATGTTTATTCCAGACTCCATGATCACCATCGGTGAGCGGCACAAGAAAGCAGAATTTCTTTTACATCATGTCCAAAAGACGAGAGCTTCAGGCTACGTTAAGCATGTCTCCCCCGAGGGAGGGAGCCGTCAGATTAGCATCCATGGCAGAAGATCGTTTTTGTCTTTTTTTTTTCCCCTCCTCGTTCCATCACCTTCCGTCTCAATCAGCGTGAGACGCCGTAAAACAGCCACGGTGTCCCCAGCATCCCAGAGACAGGAGCATTATCGGGGGGGGGGGCAGTGCACAAAATCAATGTCAGGAGAGTGCAGGCGTTAACGGGAGTGGACGTCTCTCTGCCCTCACACTGTCTGAAGCTACTGATGGACTCGTCATGCTGCCGAAAGCTGATCGAGGCGCTGAAGAGGACGGGAGGAATACAGATAACGAACGACGGAGGCGCAGAGGCGGAATTACAGCCGGCATGTCCGACACCTTTAACCGCGCAGACCAGCTGGTTTTTGCGTTCTGGATAAGCGTTGGCTAATAACCGTACCCTTCGGTTTACGATCTTGCCATAAATTGCAACATAAACTTTTGCCTCCCTCGGCACTCCATGAGGAATGGGCTCCCATCTGTCCACGCGGGGCGGAGAAGCACCTCACCTGTCCTCTTTGATCCTGGCCAGCAGTGGCTCCAGCCAGCCAGTGGTGCACTCGCAGTGGGCATCCAGGAAGGTGATCACCTGACCCCGTGCGGCCGCCGCCCCCCGCAGCCTGGCGCGAATCAGCCCGGAACGCTTCTCCATGCGTAGCACCCGCACCGGCACCTCCAGGGTCCGTACGTGCTGGTCCAGCTTCTCCTTCAGGAAGTCTGCCGGTAGTGAAATGGATCTCTCTGCCCGGGCCTTGCTGTGCCACGCTGAATGGCTGCATTTATAATTCATTCCACCTTCTCCCCTGAACAACTGCCCCCTTCCTCCCCCCACCACTGTTTTCATCTCTTGGCATCAGATCAAAGCCACCAAAAGCCTTTTTATATAAACACGCTCTGCAGTGCAGGTGACAGTCGTACCTGTCGGCTGGCTAAATTTCAATCTCCCTCACGTCCCGCTCATATTTCTCTGACTGCTTAATGTTTATTTCGTCCATCTGCTTTGCTCATCCCTAGCTGAAGGTTGTTGAGAAATTGATACCCCCACAATCTGCCCCCCCCCCCCACCAGGCCCCCACACCCACACTTCTCCGGATTGATTTTTTTTTTGTCAGACTGGCTATTTTACATGTTCATGCATTTACAAAGCCGCCTTCTTAGGCTGATGCAAGGTTAGCCGCCTTATTCACTTGGGGGTTTTGCTGTAAGGCAGCTGCCCTGGACAGGACTAGGCGTGACCTTGCTGAAAAATCAAGTGTAGGGTGCTTACAGGACCTGCAATAACAGCTAATCCAGTCCCCGTGGGGCCCGAATCGCGACCTTAACCCCAACCCTCCCTTAAAAGAGCCCGAATGGGTTCCAGCTAGAATGTACCTTGTGAAACAGGACCAGGTTGCAGTGAGATAACAACCACCTTCTTAGGCAGAACCGGACGAGACCGCACTGGAAGGGTTCCTCAGCAATAAATGGGGACTGAGTGGAGAGATACCTCTTTAAGACGGAGCTGGGAAATACCTCTCTCACTGGCGTCGTCCACTAGCAGGATCTCCAGCAGCAGGTGGCGTGGCGAGCGGTTGATGGCGCTGTGGACCGTCCGCAGCAGCGTGCTCCAGGCCTCGTTGTGGAACACTATGACAACGCTGGTGTTGGGCAGGTCATCCGGGTACACCTTCGTCTTGCAGCTGACAGGGGCCCAAATACTTGTAGTGAGCATGTAACGTCACCTCGGCCGGTACAGAACCGAAACGCAAGGGCCGCCGCTGGCAGCCGGGTCATATGAGGTCATCGGTTGCCACGGAAACAAAAGTGGAACTTCGGAGGACAGATCAGGGGCAACTCGCTGGACGGCGACAGCGTGGTCCTCACCCATCCAGTCTGACGTCCGGCAGACTCCTGTTGAGGGGGATCATGTCGCTGGCCATGAGGTTAAACTGGTTGATTTTAAACATCTCCTTCATCTTCTCCTGATTCTCCTTGGGGACCACCACCGCCTTCCCCATCTCTCCTGGGCCCTCCTGTGTGCGTGACATCACCGCTGCAATGCAAATATTGAGGGTTTACGCAGGATTATCCAGCTACACTCCTACAGACCAGATGAAAAGTGCCAATGAATGGATTATTCCACAAGCTGTTTTTATGTTGTTAACACTGAAAATCTTCTGACGCTCATTTTCCTTGATCTTTACTTGGTCTTGCACCTGTTATCAATAACCACATATTCACACTCAGTCCTGTGAAGTACAGGACTGCCCTATATGACAAATATGAAATTATATCTTACGGGAGTTCCACGTAACAGCTGCCAAAACTGCTAAAAGAGAATTCTTACATGAAGCAGAAGGGGTGAAATATCATTATTACAATCAAACACTCAAATTTGTAGGGTGTGCAGTCAGTACCAGAATCATTTTTAGATGTGATGAGTCCAAAAGAATTTGTATTCCGAGTTAATTTCGGGCTGAGGGAGCCTGGCGAAGGCATTTGTCACTTTGGCACGTCTGATCAATTTGTTCCAAAGAATGCTCTTCATACTTCATTTGCGAGGCCTTTTTAGTGCTGGGGGGCTTGTTTTCGAGATGCAGGGACGGGGCAAGTCTGTCGGCTCGATTAATGTTGCCCCCGCTGATGAATGAGGCGGGAGCGTGAGAGGTCGACACGAGGACGGCTGACAGACTCCTCGCCCCCGAGAGACCTAGACCACCCCCCCGTCCCCTTCCTCGTCTGTTTGGGTCAGAGTACCACAGACACGTGCAGCCTACATGCCCCACCGTACCAGCGGCCCGCGTACTCCAGCATTAAACGTCTGCTAAATGACTTTGTGTCTTATTCCCATGAACCACCCCCCCCTCCCCCCCCGCGCCCTTTGGCTGGTTTTCCTACATCACCTTCTACAGGCCGACGGCTGAAAAGGCGTGTGAATGTTGAGAATCTTGAAATAGCATTCTGGGTCCTTTCTGAGTCATACATTTGAGCATCATGTTAGAAAAGAGCATCGGTTCTAAAATAGAGATACATCCTGACTGACCTCCTGCTCTTTGGAACTGATAATCACCAAACAATGGTTTGGAAGTGATTGTATGAAGAAAAGCAAGCTTAGTACAGAGAACTGAAGTTTGTTGGCCACGGACAGCATTAAAAGTCAAATACACACTATATGGTCAAAAGTATTGGGACACCAGTCTGTCCATCATCTCACTCTGAATCAAAGGGTATTAATACGAAGCTGGTTAACCCATAGTTGCTATAATAGCCGGTTCTCTTCCGGCTTTACGTTAGATGCTGGGACATTGCTGGTGGGATCTGCTGCCTTTCCGGTTGGGTATCGATGTTGGTTGATCAGGTCCCTGTCTGTGAGCTTGTCTGGCTGCCACTTTGCAACTTGCTCCCAGATGTTTGCACTTCACAGTCACTTCACTTGCTGTTGACCAGGGCAGCTCCAGCAGGACAGACACGTGGAGAACCGACTTAAGGACATAAGAAATTTACAAACAAGAGGGGGCCATTCGGCCCA